AGTATCAGCGTTTCCTGCAACCAGTCCAACCAGTCCAACCAGTCCAAACTGCTGGTTCTGTTTGTTTTCTAGTGTCTGTGCTGCTTCTCTCCAAAACCTCTGATCTAACAGAACCACGGTCACCACGACCAACAGTTGGCGTCCATCTGTGAGTTCAGGCAGCTTCCAGTCGACTCGTCTGAGTCACAGGTTTAAGCTTTTTCCAGTTAAAGATGCTTCAGTGTTTGGTCGGTCCGACTCGTTAAATGTTGATGAGCAGTACGTTTTAAAGCTGAGACACTGAACAAGTCGCGGCTGTAGCGCTCAGTGGACGAGACCGGAGAGAAGAAACCTGTCGTCATGAGGTTGGTTCGACTTTAATCCAGTTTTAAATCAACCAGAGCAGAAACCTGAGTCAAGGACAGCATGTGGAGCTGATGGTTCATCAGAACACTGTGGGAGGCTCCAGAGTCCAGTGAACCCAGTAAAGTTTGGTTTATTGATCCAGGAGACGGACGGCTCTCAGGAAACGTGAGTTTACGTCACTTTCTGTGAACTCTGAGAAAATCCTTCAGGTAAAGAGATGTTTTCTGAAACGAGGAGGTTGAACAGAAAACAACCGGTTTGAACGATGGCTGAGTTCATGTCTTCATGTGTCCACGCTGCTCCAGGACTGATCCGATCCAGACGCTGTTCAGGAGAAACTTCACATGGATGAAACAGCTCAGAGACACAAATCAGCCGCTGCTTCTGTTCAAGTCATTGGACCTCCTGGTTAATGAAGAACTGCTTTATTCAGCTCACAGCATCAGAAACAAACTCCTGCTGGTTGTGTCCTGAAGCGTGTGGACCACCAGGAGGTTGGTCCTCTGGAGGAAACCAGAACCTCCTGTCAGACATTCAGCGGTCCGTTATGAATCCCAGACGTCTGCAGAGCAAAGACCCAGAACATCAGGAAATAGATTTAGATAAGAATCGAACAGAACCAAACACGATGGTTCTGACTGTAGCCGGTAGAACAGACTGAAGCTCGTTCAGGATCCTGATTAAGACTCTAATTTACTGACGTTAAGTTCCAAACATCCCTTTAATGAACTGTGGAGACAGAATGGTCTGAATGTTGTCGTCTGAACTGATTCCTGAGTCGGTTGATTTAAAGCTAGATTCAGTTTGAGGTAAATAATGAGAAGCTTCATAGTTCTGCTGGACCCGCTTCATGTTGACCGTTCATCAGCTCAGAAACCTGTTTGTTTCTGTCATTGATCATCTTTAAAGCCTGACCTCATGCTGTCGCCCATCAGGGGTCAAACCCACGTCTGGTCGGTTCCTCACACTCAGCGTTCAGAGTTCAGAAATCCGATGATCAGCAGGATGATGAAGTCCAGCTTCCTGAGCACCGTCTGGTTCTGCTCCTGTCCATCCAGGTCCTCTGCTGCCTCCTGCTGGTCAGACACCAGAATCCTGCAGAACGCTGAGCAGCAAAGTCCAAACAGACTAAAGATTCTCTGAAGCTGGAAGTTTTCAGCAGAGATGCAAAACTGATGAAACAATGAATTTGATCTGAGCAGCTGATCAGACTTAGAACATGTTTAGTGTCCAACGAGGTTCTGGGAGCAGCCAGAAGGTCTGAGACCAGTAAAGTCAGAAGTTAAATGATGAGCTGGGTGTGAAGGTCAGACGTGGAGGTTTAAGGTCTGGATGACTGAACCTGCAGCAGCATCCTGAGGGGGATGAAGACCATCCTGAGGTTTTCCCTCTGAGGTGACGCTGAGGTTCTGGAGATGTTCTCCAGCAGGAGGCAGCGTCTGGAGGCGTCAGGACCACGTTGGGAGGTAAAGAGGTGGAACTCCGCCTGTGGATCTGGAGCAGAACCTGGTTCCTCCTCCTCCACGTCAGGGCGGGCAGCCGTCCAACTAAACCATTATCGTCTGTGGGAACCAGAGGCTCCTGATGCTGCAGCTGGCCGGTTCTGCTCCGCGGTGGTCCGAGCTGATGGATGGGCTGAGGGTCCGTCTCACGGTTCTGGTACCGTCCAAGACGAGAGTCAGAGGCTTCAGGAACAAGTTTAATGACACTGAAAGACTGAAACCCGCAGAGAGACGTAACGAAGCTGCAGCGACCTCATGAAGCGGATTGTTTGTTTAAAACTAAACTGAGTGAGACTGAAGCTGGAGCTCCTTCATACATCAACCAAACATCTGTAGTTTCACCGTAAAAATTAATCCAGTATCTGAAAAGTCTCAATATTTGTATTTTTAGCCAATTTATTATTTTTATAAAATATTTATTATTATTTATATATTTATTTAACAGTCAACTTGTAAATCAACACTTTTTTCAGTGATTTTGCTTCATGTTATCTGTAGTTTAACAAAACAGGAAATCTATAAAATAACATCTAAAAAATAGTCGCCGGTTGGCGTCCCGGTGAGGACACCCGGGATCTTCCTGCGTGGAGTCTCCATGTTCTCCCCGTGCAGCGTGGGTTCTCTCCGGGTTCTC